CCCTTCCCCAGTTCTTGGCTCCCTTGGGTCCCAGCCCCGGGAGCCCAGGCTGACTCCTGGCCCCTCCCTCTGCAGCCGCAGGGTGTGCGCCCTTGGGGTGCCCAGGGGCCCCGTGGCCGAGTCCTTTGTGCAGCGTGTGTACCAGCCCTTCCTCACCACCTGCGGTGGGCACCGAGTCTGCAGCACCTACCGGTGAGTGCCCCGCCCGCCGCACACCCCCCTGGGGCCCAGGGCGGCAGTGCGCCCGAGTCGGGACTGAGGCCACGTCCAAGTGGGTGGCTGAGACTGATGCCCATGGGGTCGTAGGCAGTCCCGTCTCAGGATGGTGTGGGGGCTGCTTCAGGAGCCTGCAGCTCACCTGCTCCCACCCTCATTCTTCGAGGGGTGCCCCGTCCTGTCTGCTCCTCGAGGGGTCCCCCATCCTGTCCGCTCCTCTCCACTTCAGGGTGGTAACCCCTGCCCGGCACCCCCAGCTGCAGGCTCTTCCCACTTGGGGGCACCTGCCTCCGTGCTGGCCCCGTCCTCGGGGCCCCACCGGACGCCCCTCTGCCCCAGCTGGTTGCACGGTCACCGTTGGACATCCTGCCCCTCACCTCGACCGGCCCCGGGTCCCTTTGGCCCTGCCATGTCGGGGCAGGGCGTGCACCTCTGGTCCTCAGTGCGGGCACGTGGCCGTACAAGGCTTTGCTTTCCGAGGTTCTCTAAGCACTCCCTGGCAGGGGGGACCCCAAGGTGCCATCCCAGGGGGAGAGGCCCTCTGGGGTCACACCTGGGTGACCCTGTCCACGCTGGGGGAGATGGTTTCATATGCTTTCTGTCAGGCTTAGGACCAAGCCAGCCAGGAAGGTGGGTGGTGGGGAGGACAGGGCACCTCACTCAGCACGTCTGCGGAAAGCCTGGTTTGGGCCCCGGGGACCTGGTGGCACCCACTGAGGCCACTCTGTGAGGGTTGGGCCCTTCTGAGCCGCCCCCTCCCGCCCACAGGACCATCTACAGGACTGCTTACCGCCGGAGCCCTGGGCCGGCCCCCTCCAGGCCTCGCTACGCCTGCTGCCCCGGCTGGAAGAGGGCCGGTGGGCTCCCCGGAGCCTGCGGAGCAGGTGAGGGCCCCGCGCCACCTGGCATTAGTAAGAACAGTGGCCCAGTCAGACTCCGCCCCCTCCAGACCCCAGGCAAGGTACTCACTGCTTCTCAAAACTGGAGCCAAGCGCCTCCTTGCAGCACGGCACCCCTTCCCAGCCGCCACTCCCACAGGGCCCTGGGGGACCTTGGTGACAGGCCTCCTTCACCCACAGCAATCTGCCAGCCACCATGCCAGAATGGAGGGAGCTGTGTCCAGCCAGGCCGCTGCCAGTGCCCTGCAGGGTGGCAGGGGGACCTCTGCCAGACGGGTGAGGCGGGGTCCGCCCTCCCTGAGGGGACGGGGTCCCCCTGTGCGTCCTGGGTGGCCCTCCAACAGGTCGGTCTCAAGGGGCCTCAGTGTGGGTGCCGCCTCCTGCCTGACACCCCCTTTCCCACAGATGTGGACGAGTGCAGTGTTGGACGGGGCGGCTGTCCCCAGCACTGTGTCAACACCGCGGGTAGCTACTGGTGCCAGTGTCGGACAGGCCACAGCCCATGTGCAGACGGGGTGCTCTGCCTGCCCAAGAGAGGGACCCCTGAGGTGACCCCGGGCCCCACCAGAGGTAAACTCCCCACGTGCCCCGCCTTTGCGGCCGGGCCGGGATGCTGGGCATGGCGGGGACACCGGAGGGACGCCAGCCCCAGGCCCGGCGGAAGCGGGGCTCTTCCCGAGGAAAGGTGGGCGCTGGTTTCCCACGGGCGCTGCAGAGAGCTCGCCGAGGCCCGCCGCGTGACCCGCCCGGGCAGCCCGGAGACACCGCATCCCGCTGGCGACGGAACATTATTACTTTTGGTACGCGCTGTGACACTTCAAACTCGTACCGTGAGTAATAATGCGCCGACGGCAGCCCAGCACCGAGAGCGCGGCGCAGACCACGGCGGGGACCCCCCCGCATGGCGGGGACCCCGCACCGGAGGGCCCGAGGGAGTGGGCCCGCATCTGCCCAGAGCCTCATCCTAGGGCGCCGGAGCCGGCAGGGCCACCTCCTAGACCTCCGGCCAGCCCTGGTGGACGGCGGGGGCCCCGAATGGGGGGAGGGTCTTGCCGCCGCAGCCGGGGCTCGAGCCCGCCCCCAGGGTGCGCCCCACAGCTGGGGCAGAGGCTGGGAGGCCGCGTGGCGGGTAGGAGGCCAGCCCGGGTGGGGGGTGCAGGCGGGCCTCTCTGACTCAGCGCCCGGATCCCCCAGGAGTGGACAGTGAGGTGAAGGAGGAAGTGCAGAGGCTTCAGTCAAGGGTGGACGTGCTGGAGCAGGTGAGGCCCGGGCCGGCGCCCCCGGCCGGCCCTCGGCGGCGGCCCACAGCCCCTGCTGTCCCCCGGGGCATAGATCTGACCCTCGGGTGGCCGTGGGATTCAGCGGGAGTGCCCCAGGGGAGGCTTCCTCAGTACTGACTGCCCAGCCACCCTTGGCCTGCGTGCCAGGAAGGGCAGGGGCCACAGGTGACTGGGACCCCCAGGACAGGCAGGGCAGGGCTGAGCTCTGTGTGACACCCCCATCTGTGTTTCTGCACGGACAGTGCCCCTGTGGGCCTTTCCGTGGGGCCATTGGCCCAATGACCCCCTCATTAGTTCCGGTCCACCCCTCCTAGCTGCTCTGACCCAAGATCCCATCCTTGGGACCCTGGGCCAGGCTGTCCTGGGTGCTGTCCTCCGTGCCCGCCCCCCTCCAGCTCTCCTGTCTCAGAGGCTCCCTCTGGTGGACGTCCAGGGCCCCACAGCTAGAGCTGGGCCCTGGCTGGCCACAGCAGTTTCCCTTAAAGCAGCGGTCCCCAACCTTTCTGGCACCAGGGACCAGTGCTCCCAAGAGAATCTAATGCCTGAGGGTCTGAGGCGGAGCTGAGGCGGTGATGCTGGCGCTGGGGAGCGGCTGCAAATACAGATGAAGCTTCGCTCGCTCACCAGCCACTCACCTCCTGCTGTGCGGCCCGGTTCCTAACAGGCCGCAGACCAGCACCTGTCCACGGCCCTAGGGTTTGGGTCCCCTGCCTTAAAGCCTCGTGGAACTGAGGGTGAGGGCTGGCCCCGGGTCACATGACCCCTTCCCCAGCCGGGCCCTCTGCCCGTCCCGCAGAAGCTGCAGCTGGTGCTGGCCCCTCTGCACAGCCTGGCCTCGCGGGCGCTGGAGCGCGGGCCCCAGGACCCCGGCAGCCTGCTGGTCCACTCCTTCCAGCAGCTGGACCGCATCGACTCCCTGAGCGAGCAGATCTCCTTCCTGGAGGAGCAGCTGGGGTCCTGTGAGTGCAGCCCCCACACCCGCCCCCCACACCCACAGGGCTCCCTGGTGGCTGGGGCCAGTCTGTGCCTAGTGAGGCCAGAGGGTGGGGCAGGGCAGCCACAGGCTGAGGGGGTGCATCTGGCAGACTGGAAGCTGGTGGGGAGCAGGGACCGGTGACCTCTGACCCCAGCCCTCCCCACCCGTAGGTTCCTGCAAGAAGGAGCTGTGAGCCGCAGGCCTGTCTCCTCACCCCAGCTCCCCACCGAGCAGAGCGGGACGGGCGGGGGCTGCGAGCCAAGGCAGGAGACGGCACCCCGCTTCTCCTTACCAAAGAAGCAGGGTGGGGTGGGCTGCGGGGTCCCCGTGTGACTCCAGCCGCGGCCCGGCCAGCGCCCCACACCCCCAGCTGGCTCTCGGGGCTGAGGGAGGGTCTGAGGGTTCCCTGCCCGGAGCCCATGCTGCTGTCAGAATAAAGTGAGGCTTGAGAAACTGGGCGCACGGCTGCGTTTCAGGGGGCACTCGGACGCTGCCACAGCCCCCGGGCCCTCCGCCACCCGCTGGCTGGTGGAGAGAGCATCCGTGGGCACGGAGGGGCGCGCCCGCCCCACGGGTGCCCCCAGATGGGCTCTGGGTCCCCTCTCCAAAACGGGATGGAGTGGGTGGCCTCTGGGAAGGTGACGCTGGCCAGAGACGGCTTCCTGGGACAGGCTGGCCCCAGCCCCAGCCAGTGGCCAAAGAGCAAATCTTCACCCCCCTTGCCCAGTGCCCGCCAGACCCCTGAGCACGCGGGCTTCCCCTCGCCCGGTGGACAACCTCACCCGTTGTAAAGAGCATTACAGGATGACCATGGGCCCAGTCCCCAGAAGGGAACACTGCGGGGGGGGTGGGGTGCCAATAAGGGAGGCCAGGCAGCCCGGAAGTCCCTCGCGCTGCCCAGGCCAAGCCGCCCCCACTGTCCTTCGTGCAGACGGAGCCGGCGGTAGCCCTGCCCCTCGCCCTCCAAGTAACCACAACTTACCAGACACTTCTAAGAGCTCGTTTATAAAAAAAACCACTGAGTGCAGTCCCATTGCGCACTCGCTCCCAAGGCCCCCAGGGCAGGCAGGGGTGCGCAGGGCCCCAGAGCCCACCTCTCCCTGAGACCCCACGCGCAGGCCACGCCCCCGGCGCAGGCCACTATCCGGGCCTCAGCCCTGGCCATCAGGCCTGCTCCGCCTGGGTGCTGGAGGCCCAGGGTGGGCGAGGCCCTGCCCTCGAGCTTGGGGAGGCTCAGGCTGACTCCTGCACAAGGACTTCCACGGCCTGGATCCAAGCCAGTGGCAGGAAAGGGCTCCCCGCTCTTTGGCCGGAATGAAAGCCGGGAGCCGCGGGTGTGGGACGTCGCCATCTGGCAGCCGGGGCAGGGAAGGGGTCCCCCCCGCCATTCTCTAGCCAGGTGCTGCCCCGCCCCAGGCCTTGGCTACTGGGCTGGCTGGGCACCAGGCTTTGGGGTGGCCCTGTCCTCCTGGGGTATCTTGGATATGTGGAAGAACGTGGTCCTCATGGCTTGGTAGCAGGTGTCAGTGAGTGTGGGGACATCGGCAACAGTGAGGCCGCTGGTGGGGATGGCATCCAGCACCTCCACCTTGATAGTTCCTGTTGGGGGGGTGGGATGGGTGTCAACAACCCCAGGGGGCGGGGGCCCCACGCGTGCCTGCTTCCCAGGCCCCCACACTGCAGCCTCTCACCTCCACGCCAGCCGAAGCCCCCCACCCCTCAGGCACTGACCAGCCTTCCGTGCGAAGCCCCTCGAGGGGGCAGCCAGTGGGTCCTTCCCTAGACCCGCCCAGTCTCAGGCGGCTGGTTGGGTTTTGGCTGATAATTGGCACAATCACACGCAGCTCCTAAGTGTAGTCTTAGTGGGTTCAGACAGCCGTGTGCTCCCCGGTAAGCACCCCTAGGCAAGGAACCCTTCCTCCCTGAGAAAGGACCCTCCTGCCCCCTCCCCTCCCGCGCCCCACTTCCACGTCCCCTGGAGGGGAAGGCAGAGGCCCCGAGTTCTGTGGCCGGTGGGCGTGGGGGTGCCTGGGAGGCTGCTGCCCCCGGGAGTCGGGCCTGGACACACTGGCTCAGAAGCCCCCTCAGCACAGGAGGCACCTACCTCCAGCCCCAAGCTGTGTGCACGGCCTGGACGTGCGTGCGAACTCGGGGACCCACCCGCTCTCTGGGGGCCTGCGTCCCCACCTGGGAACAGGCCCGTGGCTGAGACCACCCCTCCCCGAGGGGCACTGTGTGGCGGGGGTCTGGCCGATGGCGACCAGCAGAAACGTCACAGGGATGGGGACAGGAAGGCCGTGCGCGCGGGCAGTGGGGACACTACCTGAGGTGAAGAGCTTCGTCTTGGGTTTGTAGAAGGAGGACAAGCTGGAGTACACCACGGGGATGATGGGCACCTGTGCACGGGGGACGCGGGCAGCTTGAGCATGGCCCGAGCTCCCAGACCGCGCGTCAGCGACACGCCGACCCCGGGCCTGGGACACCCTTCATGGGTTGGGTGGCCCAGAATTCCAGAAACTCATCCTGCACACCTTCGCTCAAGCAGTGCCTCCTCTAGGAAGCCTTCCTGGGCTAGCACACGCCATCAGATCTGTATGTGTCCCCCACTGGGTCCCAAGGTTATCCAGGGAGGTGGGGCCCCATCCGGTGTAGCTCAGGGGGTTGCTAAGTTCCTCCCATCCCCGCTCCCTGCCCAAACTCTCTCCCATCTCGAAGAGGCCAGAGGCAGCCCTAGCTAGGGGAGGCCTGCTGGGCTTCCTGCGAGACACCAGGGTCAAATCCAATGGGGACTGCAGTGTCCAGAAGTGCCTGGGGTAGGAGGCCCCTGGCAGGAGCCTCTCGGGGCACCGGCAGGGGCTGGGTGTGGGGGCTGGGAGCACAGGGAGGCTCCGTAGAGCAGGGCCTGGTAGTGGGAGGTGGGGGGCGGGGGGAGATGACAGAATGCGACATCCGGTCTCCTGGTGGAGGGGCTGCTGCCCCAGCCCCACAGAGCTGCCTCCCCGCCCATGACCCCTCCCCCACACCACTGGCCAAGGGGAGTGACATAAGCCTCAGGCACATGACAGGGGTGGTCTCCACCTGCTGGCTAGAGGGGTCGCAGGCCCAGAGTGGGGAGAGCCTTGCTCGGGCAGAGCTGGGGTCCCAGCTCGGGGCCCCTCCTCCTGCTGGCTCCTTCATCCCGAGGCCTTAGCCGGGAGCTTCTGGCGGGAGGGCTCACCTGGCCTCGCTCAGGGCCGGGACCAGGGGCACTAGAGGCCACCTGTCACAGGTGGAAGACAGGACAAAAGCTGCCACTTAGACCCCAGACCCCAGCCGAGCAGGACGAAAGCCCTTGACGGTGGCTGTCCTACACGAGTCCCCCAGCACAGTGCCAGGGCTGGGACAGGCGCCCTGCACCCACCGGGAAACCCCACCCCCTGGACGGATGTGCCCCCAGCCTCTCCTGGTGTCACCCTCAGACACCAGAACACCTCGGGGCAAACTGCACCCCTGGAAGTCAAGGAGCAGAAAAGTAGTGTCCCACACGGAGCTCTCGGCTCGCTCTGCGCAGGCCTCTGTCCAGCTGTGGCCTGAGCCCTCCCACGCCCTGGGCCCTGCTGGTCTGCACCCACAGCCCACTCCTGAGCTCTGCCCTGGCCAGGGGTGCCAGGGGCCTGAACACACTCGGCACAGCCTTCCCGAGGGCCAGCTCAGGCCTGCCACCTCTGCTACCAAGCCAGCTTTCTCAGGGGGGCCCCTCGCCTGGCCAGCTACAAAGTGGGGGTCCTAGAGCTCCAGGAGCAGGTACAGTGGGGACCAACATTACTCCAGCTGGCCACTGGGCCCGACCAGGCTCCGGCCTCAACACGCAGAGTGGGTGAGGGGCCCGAAGGACCCTGGTTGGCAGGTCAGGGCCCAGCTGCGGGAGGGGTGCTGAAGCCCTGCCGCCCACCCGGTGGGTGGTCCCTGGGTGCCAGCAGCTCCAGCCCGGCCGGCCAGTCACCCTCAGCCTGAAGCCGGCCTGGACCAGCTGCCCGCCCCGCTGCCCCGGAGGGCGACTGCCACGTACCTGGGCCTGGATCGCCAGGTAGAAGGCGCCTTTCTTGAAAGGCAGCAGGTCCTCGTTGTCATTGCGTGTGCCCTCGGGGTAGATCCACACTTTGAGCTGTGGGGAGAGAGGCGGCCGCTGAGGCAGGGCCGTGGCCCTCGCCCTCCGAGGGACCCCAGCCCCGCAGTTCCTGGCCGCGCACCGGGACGTGTTCTTTCCCGCCCAGCAGAAGGCGCACGGCAGGGCCGTGTGGACCCGGCCGTTCCATGCATGCGCGTGTCCGCCCAGCCCGCAGGCCCGAGCCCCGAGCCCCGAGCCCCGGAACTCACGTTCTCCCCGACCATGCGCTCGCCCACTTCGGTCATCACGGTCATGGCAGTGCTGGAGCACTGTCGGTTGATGAAGAAGACGCCCCCGAGGTACATGACCAGGCCCACGGGCCCCATGAAGAGCAACTCACGCTTGGCAATCTGCACACAGCGTGGGGGGAGGATCTCCATGAGGCCTGTGGGCGCCCAGTCCCCAGGGAGGGACAGAGGCAGAGAGAGAGAGAGAGAGGCCTCAGAGCCTGCAGCCACCTCCCCAAGGAGGAGGGAGACCGGCCAGCCCTGGGCCCTGACCACCAACAGGCCTGGACTGAGTCATGCCTTCCCACTGGCTACTGGCCTCTGAGCCTCAGTTTCCCGCCTATAAAGAGATGGGGCTGAAATGGAGCTCCCAGCTGCGGGCGAGCGGAGGGCCCTGTGCCCCGTGTGCGGCACACACACAGCCTCGTTGCTCGTCACACAGCCTGAGGCCCGTGGCTGGAGGGAGGCCCAGATGCCCTGCGTCAGCCTCCCTCCCCTGCCAGCTCCTCCAGGCCCCGCCTGCAGCTCCCTGAAACACTGTCCCCCTCTCCCCTGCCCAGGGCCAGCGTCCCGGACCGAGCCTGTGGCCAGGACCCTCCGCCTACCCATCATGTCCAGGATGCTCTGGTGGTTGGAGATGATGACACAGGGGTGGTCCACCTCCAGCTTCCGGCGGCCCCTGACGTCAAAGCGGAGGCCATACAGGTACTTGAAGGACCGGATGAACCAGCTGATGATTCTGAGGGGGGAAGGGCACAGGGCACAGTGAGCGGAGGTCCCGCCGCCCTCAGCTTGGAGGCCTGGGGAGGGCGCCACGGGGCAGGACCGCAGACAGAGACACGGCAGAGACTCCACAGCAGACGGGGCCGCTGCCCCCTCACAGGCCACGTGACCCTGAGCTGCGGTGCCCACCGGAGCCCTCAGGCCCTGGCCCTCAAGGGGGACGGCGAGAGCCACCCTGCCTCCCGCCAGCCGGACGGGAGCACAGCCTCTGGGGGCAGACGCTCGGCAAAAAAGAGGGAGCCCACTTCCACGCCTACACCCCAGGATCCTGCCCTGACCCCACACCCCTGCTTGCTCAGCCAAGTGAGGACCCAGCTGGTAGGGGGCGTGGTGGAGGCCAAGACCCCCCAGGGCGTGTTAGTGACCGACGTCCCTGTGCCCCTGTGGAGGCTGGCCCCCCCCACCCACACCCAGCGGGGAAGTGACCATCCCAAGGCCGTGCCACACAAGGAAACAAGCATCGGTAGCAAGCGGGGACCTCTGCCAGGAGCTGAAGGAGCTTCCAGAACAATGGAGGAGCCACTACTAAGGGGACTCGTGTGGCCGGGCACACCAAGGCCACTGCACCCCTCACCCCCGTCCCGTAGGGCGAGGCCAGCATCTCCCCTCCACGGATGAGGACACGGGCCTTGGAAGGTCGAAGGACTCGCTGCGGTCACAGGCAAAGTCGGTCAGGATGGCGCATGCACCCAAACTCCTGACTGGACGCCACGCCCTTCCAGACCTGCTCTCGCGCGAGGCTGCCTGGAGCACCCATGAACTTGAACTCGTCCCAGCAACGCTCAGTGGGCGTGACCAGCCATGTCCAGGGGACACCTGTGTCTTCTGAGCTCTAGTCATCCAAAGGCACTGTGCTGGCAGGTGGCTGCCTGGGTGTGGGGAACGCGGGGAAGGAGGGTGGCCTCGGCCCCCTGCTCTGCAGGGACACCTCGCTCACACTGGGACAGAACAGGTTCCCTTTAGGGGTCGGCCCTGGGGGTGACGCTGTCCGACGTGTGAGCTCGCTCTGTGGCTCCCTGCAGAGCCCCTGGGTCCCTCCCACCCACTGTGGGTGGCAGGGGGCTGGGGATGTGCTACCTACTGACCCAAGCGGTCCTGTCCCAGGACTGCCGCATGCTCCCAGATCGCTGCCCCCCAGGTCACCTGACTTTCTCAACGGTCCTGTAGGACGGGGGTTTCCAGCCCCAGACCAGTTACTGACAGCTGCTCAACAGAGCAGGGCCCTGACTCAAAGCCACACTTTGGCTTTAATTGCGGTAAAAATACACACGAGGTCAAATCGCCACCCGAGCGGCGTGTCAGTGCGCAGCTCGTGGTCAGGGACGCTCTCGCCGTTGCGTGGCCGGCCCTCCACCCCTCTTCAGCGCTTGCTCTAGTGTTTTGCTTCCTGCATCATATTTAAAGGGTGAATCGTAGACTGTTGCCGTTTCTGAACTAAGAAACATACTGTGTGCGAACTCCCGCCGCAGAGCGGAGCAGGGCCGCCGCCTGGTTTCCTGCCAGGGCCAAAGGCCCGGGGAGGGACGGACGGGCCCGGCGATGCCTCAGGAGCTGCAGCAGACGGAGGCCCCCACGGCAGCTGGCTCCCTGCGCTTCACAAGCAACGCATCCTGCACACCAAAAACTCCAGGGCAGCGCGGTCACGGTGAGCTACGTCCTCAGGGGACAAGCCATTCTCCACAGGTGGCCACGTTTTTTCCTCCCAATGTCCCGCTCACATTTTCAAGGTTGTCTATAAAGCCTATTATCATTTTCACGGTGTTTCCTCGGACGGAGGACTCCGCGGAGCTCTGCAGAGGCTCCCGCAGTCGGGGACGTGTCCGGGCGCCTGGCGCCAAGCAGAGATGGCAGGTCGCTGGGACCCCAGCCACCCCAGCCACCCCTGCCAGCCGTTGCACACCTGTGTGTGCAGCGGGCTCTGTGCGAACCAGCCCGTTTTGTTGGCACAATAACCCCGCAAGGCACATTCATTACACCTGCCCTGCAGGTAAGGAAGCCGAGAGCTGCACAGGGTTGAGCGACTTGCCCAGGGCCACACGGCGGGGAAGCCAGGGTGGGCCGAAACCCACCTCTCAGCCTGGCTTTTGAAGACCTGGTGATGAATGCCAGGCAAAGGGCATGCTGACGGAGGCTGTAGGATGGCGAGCGCTCAGAACTACGAGATCCCAGGTCTAGATGCTGGTCCTGAGGCCTCCCTGAGGCCCCCAGCAGGGTTGGGAGGGGCTCTGCACCCTCTTCTAGGGGGAACCTCAAAGCACCCCCAGGCTGCCCCCGCTTCCAGGGCCTCGTTCCTGACCACCAGCCCTCCTCTCCCCCAAAGCTTGGGGCAGGTGTCAGTGGTACTGGGACAGGGTCACACAGCTCTGGCTGCTGTCCTACGTCCTCCAGTCCCCAATTTCATGACCCTGCTTCCCCAGGGGAGGCCAGTGGGGGTGGAGCCAAAGTCGCCTGAAGTCCAAGATGCCAGCCAGCAGATAGGCTGGGTGCCCGGCCAGAAGCACTGCTGATGGCTGCCAGGTGGGTGACCGCTGTGAGTTTTCCGCAGCGAGGCAGGTGGCCCCTGGAGCAGGCCCTTTCCGACTGCCTGCAGGAGCACCCAGCTCCCCAAGCAGAGATATCTTCACCCTCCCTGGACCTTTCCGGAGCCCTCCACTCACCCTAGACTAGGACCACTGGCCAGAAGCGAGCCCCATGAACGTCTGATTCTTCCCAGGCCCGAGAGAGCCCGCACTTGGCTCCTAGCAGCCAGCCCCCTGGGACCATCCGCACTCAGCCCGAGGACACCTGTGCCCCTCTCAAGCTCTAGGTGAGGCAGACCTGGATTAGGATCCTGACTCCCTTATTCCCAGCTGCGACCTTGGGTGATGCCCTTAATCTCCCTCCCTAAGCTTCGGTTTTTGCCTGTGGGGTGGGAGGTGTGCCAGGACGCCCGTGAAACCTCCAGACCAGGGCAGCCAAAGCCAATGAAAACAGAGCCCCCCAACTCAGCCAGCCCACTGCCCCCAGGCGCTGGGAGGCAGCTCAAGGCCAGGCGGGGCACCCTGCTGACCTTTGCCCTCAGCCCCTGGACTTGGTCTGGGTGGCTCTCGGGAGACCTGGGCAGCAGTTTTGGCCAAGGCGGGCCAGTCTTCAGCCAGACCCTGCGGGATGCGGCCCTAGAGTAAGGGGTGCGGTGAGGCGATCTTGGGGGCAGCCCTGTCAGGAAGGCAGTACACAGAGCCACCGAGCTGCTCGGGGAGGCCCCAGCAAAGCCACCTGGCAGAGCGGACGCATTTCCGGCAAGCATCCTACAAGCTGGAGCACAAGGAGGTGCCCAGAATGGGACGGGGGGTATGTGGATTCCCAGAGGGGCAAAGGCAGGCAGTACAAGAGCGGAGTGAATGCCAGCGGCCTGGGACGAGGTGGCCCCCAAGTGACGAGCTTTCTATGCGACCCTATGCACGTCCCCAGGGCCGGCGGGGGCTCTGCTCCACGGGCCTCAGAGAGTATGTCCCTTGCCACCCCCAAAACAGGATGGAGTTCCTTTGAGACGGGGGCCCAGGCCAGCGCCAGGCACCCCGTCCACGCGGCACCCCCCAGCCACACGGTTGGCCATTGGCCAAGAGACTGGGCCGTTCTGGGTTCAAACCTTGATCGGCAGCAACAAGTCCCCAGCCGTGTGGCCGAAGCTGTGCCCAGTCTCTCCTCCCCGGTGTTCCATGTGGGCACGGCCTACAGACCGAGCGCCCCACGGCCCGGCCTCCCCATGGCCAAGAGTCACGCCACCCAGGTCCTGACCCCAGGACGGATGCAGAAGCGTGTGGGGCGGTTCCCGGAGACCCTGCCAGGATGGCGGCCTGCTGGGCCCCGAGCACAGCAGGGCCACCGGACAGGGAGCAGGAGGCTTTCCGCGGCCCAGGCTGCCCAGCTCCGGCCTCCCTTGGTGCATGAAAAAGGAAACTCTGGTCAAGCTGCTATCAGGAGGGTGTCCTGACCCCACAGCCGAACCCCTATGCTCACGTGCAGCCCCCCTGGACTCCACTCCCTCTGCCAAGCGGATGTGATGAGGGCAGTCCTCCCAGGACCGAGAATTCTCCCGGGACTGCCCCCAGCCCTGCACGCAGGGCACCGCCAGCCCGGTGGGCGCAGAGGGGTGGGGAGGTCCTTGATCTCAGCCCCCAGCCCGGTCAGAACAGCCTGCGTCCTCTCTTCCGTTCCTGGCACATGCGGAACTCAACTCTAAACAGAAAGGCCTCCGTGGGTGCCCACCCAGGGCCCGTGGGGAGGGGCAGAGCGGATGGCCGGCTGGGGAAGCCGCGGGCCGGGGGGCACGGAGGAAAGGGGAAGGCACGCCTTTGGGGTCGCTCTGTGGGTTTGTGTCCTGGCTCTTGCCGAGTCCTAGCTGGACGACCACCTCCTCCCCGGAGGCCTTGGTCAAGGGGCTCCCCTGAGCCTCAGACTCCTTATCTTTAAATCGGAACATGATGCTCCCGCCCCAAGGCTGCAGCACAGCAGGTGCCCAGAGATGGAAGTGGCGGCCGCCCTGGGTGCAGTGGGCACCCTTTCCCGGAGCGGCTGGGGCCGGAACGCAGACAGCCAGGCACCCAGCGTGCTCAGGGGTCCCGGGACGAACTGTCCCGGCCCGGGAGCGGGGAGGGAGCCTGTAGCTCACTCAGCCCCCTTCCATCCTGGGTCTTGTCCCTGGACACACCTAGGGCGACACACGCCTCTGCCTGTCCCAGCTCCCTGCGGCCACATCCCTCTGGAAAGTCACGTTTAGTCAACCCACCCCTACTCCGCGTCCCGACGCCCAGCCCAGCCATCGCTGGGAGTCACTGCTGCGACCCGCCCTTGCAGGGGCAGGACCTGGGGGCGCAGGCTGTGAGACCCTGGGGAGAACGAACCCCTGCTGTTACGTGCTGGGTGGCCCCTTTGCAGAGCCTGTGCCTGGGGAATGAAGGGCACAGGAAGCTCTCGCTCGAGCACCATCGGGGCCTCCGGGGTCACGACAAGGACACCCTAGTCGGCCAGAATCTTGGAATGAAGCTGGGGGCTCAAGCCCAGACTTGGGCTGAGGGGAGCAAGCTGAGGCCAGAGGGCCGAGGCCACACAGGGTGGGGCTGGAGGGCCAAGTGCTCGTCTGGCCAGCCCGCCAGGTCCAACCACCGCGTCAGAAGCGGTGCTGGTGACTTTCGATTTGATCCCTGGGAGTTGGCCTTGACGTCCAGGGCACTCCTGGTGGGGCCAGTGGGGCCTTACAAAGAAGCCGCTGGTAAAGAGGCCACCTGCTGAGGCAGAGCAGGTGGGAGGGGGTCACCTCCAGGATCTGTCGCTCCTGCGGGAAGCCTGCTGAGAGCCCAGCCCCACTCCTGGGGTGATGGGGGTCCAGCTCCCAGGAACTGCTCTTTCCTGAAACAGGCCCCACCCCCAGAGGGCACTCGCTGGACAGAGGGACGGGCTTCACCTGGGGCCTGAGCTCCCTGGGCCGCTGGCCCGGCCACTTTGAGCGGGGAGCCATAGCCTCGTTGAGCAGCCGCCGGCCCTCTGCCCTGGCTAGCACAGACTCTCGGTGCCACAGAAACCTACAAACCCCTGAACACAGGGCCCTGGGTGGGCCACGCCCAGCAGCATCAGCAGAGAGATGGCTCAAAGCCAGGAACCTTCACCCACTGCCCTGTAACGACATGGGTGGAGGCCTCAGAGACCACCGTATCCACACAGCAGGCCACAGCCAAGAGGCCACTGCCAAGGCCACAGAGAGAAAGACTAGCAACAGCCACGGCCCCACCGGAAACCCGGAGAAGGGCTGGCAAGAGCCCCCTCTCTGTAGCCAGGCCCCCTACCAGCCCTGAAAGGCCGCCATGGACTGTTCCCCGTCGGTCCAGATGAGCCCCCACCTCACACACACATCCCATTGCTAAGCTCCGGGGGGCCTGGGAGACTTCCAAGGGAAATTCCAGCCACCAGCCCCTTCCTTCACCTGGGCTGAAGCTGAACCCCAAGGGCCCAACAACACCCTCGGTGGCGCCGGGCCTCCCGCCTTTCTGAGCAGAGGAAGGGAAGGAGAGGACGCTGCCCTGCCGCCAGGGAGCAGGTGCACTGGTCACCTACCTGGCCGCGTGGTGAGCGACTGGAGAGGAAAGCACGCCCCGTACCCAGTGCGCAGGTCCAGGCGGCGGCGGCGCTCGGGCGACCACCCCCCCACCCAACACACACACCGCCGGGCGACCAGCTCCGCATCCCAGCCTCGGTTTCCCCGCGGGGGACAGCAGGATCGAGCCTCTCCCACCTGACCTGGCCCCCTTCCTCTCGGAAAGCTGCTGCGCCACGCGCCGCCTGGCGCCCCGCACGCCCTGGCAGGGACGCGGCGGAGCGCGAGGCCGAGCCCTGTTTCAGTCCTGCCTGCCCCGGCTCTGGGAAAGGGCACGGGGACATTGTGACGCCGGTTCCCGGGGACCCATCCCAGGCCGCCTCCCCCGTCGCGCACTCGGCTCGCGCGCCCGCCCAGGAGCCTGGCAGGGGCGCGGGCGGGGCGGGGCGGGAAGGA